ACACAGCAGTTCTCAATCTGTGGGTCGCGACCCACAAGAACTGTATTAAAGGGTTGAGGCACTAGGAAGGCTGAGAACCACTGGCTTAACACGTTAAGACTCAGCATGAATATGCAAATTAATTGTTCGTGTTTCAGAATAAGGAGACATTCCTGAGAAAAAGGTAAAGAATTAATACTATTTCTACTATACCAAATCCTTTAGCAGAACATCCTCTGCACCTCTATGGCAGGCATCGCAACAACTACGCTGCATGTCCTGCATAACAAGACAATTTGCTGAGTGACTGAAGTCTGATTACTGTTCACTTTCCCTGAACACCGACCAGTAAGTCTCCTTTTGTGGGACACTAAATGAAAGTAGTATTCCTCTATCTTCCAGAGTTGCTGAAGGGGAAACTCCTTTCAAGACTTGACCAAGGCTGGGCACTGTGGCTTATGCCTGTAATCCGAGCACTTTGGGGGGCTAAGGCAGGAGAATTGCTTGAGGCCAGGAGTTTAAGATCAGCCTGAGCAAGAGCAAGATCCTGTCTCTACAAATAGAGAAAAATTAGCTCAGCGAGGCAACATGTGCTGGTAGTCCCAGCCACTTGGGAGGCTGAGGCAGGAGAATCACTCAGCACAGGAGTTTGAAGTTGCTGTGATGGCATCACTACACTCTAGCTTGGGGGACAAAGCAAGAACCTATCTCCAAAAAAATAAAAATTAACTGCAATTTTTTTTAGAAATGGGTTTGCTTAAACACTTTCAAAAAATAAAAAATTCTCTCCAAGTCACCTTTCACCTTTTCTCACATTTCTAGTATATGATTATTTACTTTAGTTACAGTAGAACCATTTTCTGTAAGCTACATCATTTTCTAAAATTACTTTTTCACTTACTTTAACAGTCAAGTCCTTGATTAACCCATTTATACTAACCATTCCATCTTTTACGTCTTTTTGAAGGGTATAAGAATTATACAAAAAGCCTTATAAATATGTGCACTCTTGATTTCTGGCAATCTATCCTGGGAAAATAATAACAAATTTCCAAAGTTTTATGTATAAAAGTTATTTACCAGTTTTTGGTTTGGGGATGTAGCCAAAAGCAACATTCCAAGCCTCCAATGGGATATTTAAATAAGCTATATTACTTCTATTTAACAGTGTATGGCTATTAAAGTTCTATTTCTAAAAAACTAAAACAAGAATATTTTACATTTTTAAGTGAAAAATCTAGATATAAAATTATGTATCTGATATAAAAATTACCGACCACAAAACTCTGTGTAAAGATTTGAAGTACAATGGCAGAATGGCTGGTAAGGCCAGCCATATTATTCTAATCTAAAAAAAATCCATATTCTTGGGCGGCACCTGTGGTTCAGAAGGGTAGTGCGCTGGCCCCATATGCCAGAGGTGGTGGGTTCAAACCCAGCCCTGGCCAGAAACTGCAAAAAAAAAAAAAAAATCCATATTCCTCTGATCTACTATGATAATTTTTAATGGCATTAACAAAATCTCAAAGTGAAAGAATCAATATTATTCTGAGGAAAAGACTAGCCAGCCACAGAGTAGCACTTACTTAGATTTCTTTATGAAGAGTATACTTGCAGGGATCATTTCTAGGTATTCTTATGAACCACTGGCTAATTCCTTGGATACATTTCTGTCCTATTTGTAAGTTTCTGAGTTGACTAATTATGCCTGGGATTTTCACTTTTTTCTATTTAATCTTATTAGAATTAATAATTCATGATTAATATAGCAGAAGAAAAATTTTTTTTTTAAATTTTTGCTTTCAATTGGCTTTTTTTTTGGTAGAGACAGTCTTACTTTATTGCCCTCGGTAGAGTGCCATGGTGCCATGGTGTCACACAACTCACAGAAACCTCCAACTCCTGGGCTTATTAGGCAATTCTCCTGCCTCAGTCTTCCCAAGTAGCTGGGACTAGAGGTGCTCGGCTATTTATTTTGTTGCAGTTTGGCCGAGGCGAGGCCAGAGCCCTACCCACTGAGCCACAGGCACCACCCTTCAAATTGCTTTTCAATCATCTTAGTTTGAAAGATTTTTTTCTTTTTTTTTTCCTTTTATTTATTTTCTTATTGAGACAGAATTTCATTTTGTGGCCCTCGGTAGAGTGCTATGGCCTCATAGCTCACAGCAACCTCCAACACTTGAGCTTAAGTGATTCTCTTGCCTCAGTCTCCCAAGTAGCTGGGACTCCAGGTGCCTGCCACATCGCCCAGCTTTTTTTTTTTTTGGTAGAGATGGGGGGTCTCACTCTGGCCCAGGCTGGTCTCAAACCTCTAAGCTCAGGGCAGTCCACCCACCTTGGCCTCTCATAGTGCTAGGATTACAGGCATGAGCCATCATGTCAACATATTGTTTCCTTTTATTTGAGAGTCTCACTCAGTCACCCTGGGGTTGAGTGCTGTAATGTCACAGCTCACAGCAACTTCACCCTCTTGGGCTAAAGCAGTTCTCTTGCCTCAGCCTCCCGAGTAGCGGGGTCTATAGGTGCCCACCATAATGCCCTATTTTTTTTTAAGAGACAGGATCTTGCTCAGGCTGGTCTCAAACTCCTGAGCTCAGGCAATCCACCTGCCTGGGTATATTGTTTCATTATTAAGTGCTTTATTGTTGTTGTTGTTGTTGTTGTTGTTTTTGAGATAGAGTATCACTTTGTTGCCCTCGGTAGAGTGCTGTAGTGTCACAGCTCACAGTAACCTCTAACTCTTGGCCTTAAGAGATTCTCTTGCTTCAGCCTCCTGAGTAGCTGGGACTACAGGTGCCTGTCATAGCACCCAGCTATTTTTCTTGTTGTTGCAGTTGTCATTATTGTTGCTAGCAGGTGGGCTGGGTTCGAACCCACCTGCCTCAGTCTACGTGGCCAGTGCCCTAACCACCAAGCTGAGCCTTAGGTACTTCACTGTTACAAATTCACTGGGGTTTCATTATACTATTTCCTTGGGGAGACGCTTAAGAACAATACAGGAGAACCACTATATATGACCACCTCCAGTTGACTTGATTTTCATACACCAGACCTAGCAGTATAGTAGGCCTAGTTCCTTAGGTTGACCACCTCTGTATGTTGACCAGTTTGTTATAGTCCCTTGGGTCTATAACTTAGAGGTTCTAATGTAGTAAGAAGTTCTGGGCTCAGTGCCTGTAGCACAGTGGTTACAGTGCCAGCCACATACACCAAAGTTGGCAGGTTTGAACCCAGCCAGGGCCAGCTAACCAACAATGACAACTGCAACAAAAAATAAAACAGCTGGGCATTGTGGCAGGCACCTGTAGTCCCAGATACTTGGGAGACTGAAGCAAGAGAATCACTTAAGCCCAAGACTTGGAGGTACCAATGGCAACATAGTGAGACTCTGTCTCAAAAAAAAAAAAAAAAAAAAAAAGTAGTTCTGGAACGAAGCTATAACATCCCTTGAATTTGAGTCTCATATGGAACTTATCTTATACAAATTTCTATATTCTAAAAGGTTTATCATATCCAGTAAAGCTACAGATCATAAACTATACACCAACCTTTTTAACCTCCATAGGTATGAAAATGACTCATGATGAATATTCTTGAGTAAATATATAGGAAACTTAGTAGAAATATTAGAAAGATGTTATGGTTATATATTTTGAATGAAGCCTTGAGTAGAACTTATCTCACACCAAATTCTCTGTTATAGAAGATAAGTTATGTTATATGTAATAGCAAAGCCATGAAATATAAACACTACACTGAATATTTAAACGCTATAGACTCAGGTGGTCAAAATGAAAACTCAGAGAGAACATATTTTTAAGTAAATTTAAAGTCTCATTAAGATTTTAAAAGTGCGTCTGTAGATATTTCTGGCTTCCATTAATGGAAGAGTAGTTCCTAACAAGCTTTCCTGTAGCTAACTATAAACTTGGGGAGCTGGAGGTGAAAGAATCAGTAAGAAAAAGAAATTAAAAGGTAAATATGTTGGGCTCAGTGCCTGTGGCTCAAGCAGCTAAGGTGTCAGCCACATACACCTGAGCTGGCAGGTTCAAATCCAACCCGGGCCCGTCAAACAATGACAGCTACAACCAAAAAATAGCCAGGCGTTGTGGCAGGTCCCTGTAGTCCCAGCTACTTGGGGGGCTGAGGCAAGAGAATTGCTTAAGCCTAGGAGTTGGAGGTTGCTGTGAGCTGTGATGCCACCGCACTCTACCCAGGGTGACAGCTTGAGACTCTCTCTCAAAAAAAAAAAAGGTAAGTATGTTGGAAAGGAGAAATAAAACCATCTCTTATTTACAGATAATAATTGTCTATGTAGAAAAGAATATACCAAAAAACCTACTAGAATATGATAGTTTGGCAAGGTCACAAGAGACCCCCAATGTGGGCTGCCCTTAGTGACTTGTTTTCAAAGAATAGAGTATGCAAAGGGGAAAAAATAATTCTACAATGAAGAAAGAAACCTGGCAAATACAATGTTGGGCCAATGATCCGTGATAAATCATAATAGTATGTACTGTTTTATGATGTAATGAGGATACATCATTTCTGTGGTTATTATTTCATCCCAGCCTAACCTGAGAAAAATACCAGGCAAACCAAAATTGAAGGACATTCTATAAAATATCTGAGAAGTATTCCTCAAAATTATTAAGGCATGAAAAACAGACTGAGAACTTTCAAAGACCAAAATAGACATGACAACTAAATGTAATGTGTATCCTCTGTGGGATTCTAGAAAAGAACAAAGGCATTAGTGGAAAAACTAGTGAAATCTAGAGTTTAGTTGACAGTAATATACCAATGTTGGAACAAATGTACCACGATAGGGGCTGATTTCACTGTGTCCCCTTCCCCAAATTCACATGTCAAAGCCCTAACTCTCAAAACCTCTGATGTAACTGTATTAAAGACAGGGTCTTTAAAGAGGTAATTAAGTCAAAATGAGGGCTTACGTCCAATCTGATTGGTGTTCTCACTGGAAGAGAAAACAATAAAGAAAAAAAAGCCATAATATCTAAATTAGTCACAAAATGAATTATTTAATTGAAGCTATAAAAAAAGAGGCAGTATAATTGATAAAATAATTAGGAAAGGATATTTAGCATATTTCAAAAGATTTAAAACAGGAGGAGCAGGACACTTTACAAAAAGTTGCGCAGGACATAAAATTCTCAAACTATAAGTAGAAATGTAACATTACAGAGTATCTTATAAAATACAAAGACAGAAATATAAAAGGACTAGTGTATGCTAGAAGTCTGAAAACTATGAATAATGACCAAACATTTAGGTTTAAATTTACAGTTTCTGGGTATGAGAATCGTATTACTATACACATCTTCCAAACTAGGGCAGTATTCCTATTAACCATGTGTAGTATCATCTTCTACAAAGTCTTTGGCCATCTCTGCTGTGATCACATCGATGTGACTAACCTGAAGAACAATAAATGTTAAAATCTGTTAAATCCTAAACAAATAGCGTTTGCACTGTATAGGATAATATTACAAACATACAGCCTATCACCAATATATTTTATATACCAAGCCAAGTGATTCTGAAGCACTAACTGATACTTTTATTTTTATTTTTATTTTTTTTTTGGCAGGAGCCAGGTTTGAACCCACCACCTCTGGTATACCCTACTCCTCTAAGCCACAGGTGCCGCCAGATACCTTTATTTACAATGTGTTTTGTTCAATATGTGGGTTTCAAAATATTCTGTATTTTAATGCTCTAAAGACAGATATACTTATGCCTAAACATTTAAACTACCTTTTTGTTCAGTTTCTAATACTTTGCTATTTCATCAAAGAAGTTTTTTTTTTTTTTTTTTTTGAGACAGAGCCTCAAGCTGTCCCCCTGGGTAGAGTGCTGTGGCATCATAGCTCACAGCAACCTCCAACTTCTGGGTTCAAGCGAGTCTCCTGCCTCAGCTTCCCAAGTAGCTGGGACCACAGGCGCTGGCCACAACGCCTGGCTATTTTTTGGTTGCAGCCATCATTGTTGTTTGGCGGGCCTAGGGTTGGATTCGAACCCGTCACCTTAGGTCTACGTGGCTGGAGCCTTAGCCACTTGAGCCACAGGCGCTGAGCCTTCATCAAAGAATCTTAAGGCTAGAAAACACAAGAAAAATCTATGAAGTCCAGACAAATATAAATGTATATAAATATTAAAGATCAGGCATTGGGGGTGCCCATAGCTCAGTGGGTAGGGTGCTGGCCACATACACTGAGGCTGGCAGGTTCAAACCAGGCCTGGGCCAGCTAAAACAACAGTGACAACTGCAACAAAAAAATAGCTGGGAGTTGTGGCGGGCGCCTGTAGTCCCAGCTACTTAGGAGGCTGAGGCAAGAGAACTGCTTAAGCCCAAGAGTTTGAGACTGCTCTGAGCTGTGACACCACAGCACTCTACCCAGGGCAACAGTTTGAGACTCTGTCTCAAAATAAAATAAAATAAAGATCATGCATTGAAGTAATCTCTTAATGCCAATGAAAATAAAATCAATAAGATGAATGCCACAAAAACTTGCTAAGCCTCTTAGGTATATGAAGTAAAAGTTTTTTCTTTACAAAGACATCAGCAGCAGATAAGCAAGAGCTAAGTTTCCTTTTACTATTTAATTAACATGAAACCAGAATTCAATAAATATAATGAATTAAATACTAACAAACTGCATGTAAAATAAAATTACCTTGTTTCTGAACTTGACACCATAAAATTTGTCAGCTGACTCAAGCAGTTCAGGCCTAAAAGTAGTTGTAATAAATTGAGCATGTACAGCAAGTTCCATAATCATATCTGTAAAAAGAAATAGTGTAAGTTCCTCTTCTTAGCAGATCTGAAAATTAGAAAAGCAACTATTTTTGCTCTTAGAATTCAAAACTATCAGAAAAAACCTGTGATTTTTATTTTCCATACATTCATATGCAAAAATTACCAACTTCACTTCTTAAATTAGGTATAAATTTTTAATCTCAGTATCTCAGAGCTATAAAATATACAGTTTTTATTTAATATAAAGAGGTAGCAACTAAATAGCATTAGAAATGTCAGAGCAAAGTAAGTTTTCTCACACAAAAAACAAAGACAATCTTCCTTTGGCTACTTGTTTTTTTAACTTACTCAAGATCAAAATTAGATTCTTCAAATACAGGATCAGCATTGTTTATGACAAGGCCTAGCCTAACATCAAGAAAAGCAAGTTTTAGGCTGGGCGCAGTGGCTCATGCCTGTAATCCCAGCACTCTAAGAAGCAAAGGTGGGCAGACAGCCTGAGCTCACAAGTTCAAGACCAGCCTAAGCTAGATCAAGACCCTGGCCTCTTAAAAAAAAAAAAAAAAAAAAAAACAGCTGCACAAAAACAGGTGGGTGCCTGTAATCCCAGCTACTCAGGAGGCTAAGGCAAGAGAATCATTTGCGCCCAGGAGTCTGAGGTTGCTGTGAGATATGACACCATGACACTCCACCGGGGTGACAAAGTGAGACTCTGTCTCAAATAAAAAGCAAGTTTTAATATGAGAGGCTTTTGTATGAAGTTTTATATGAAAATTTAATTGGAGTTGAATTTTTCAATTGATTCAAAGAATTGTATCTACTTCTCACATAACTAAACTCTGTAAAGTAATCTAACATTTTTAAACTTTTAAAAACATCTAAAAGAGAAGTTATTTATTAAATATATACTCTGTCTGGTCCCCCACAAAACTACAGTCAGCAAGAAACCACTATAAAAGAGGAAAGGTATTCATTGGCAAGTACAAAACCAAAACTGTACCGGACACAGCCTTTCTGTGCTGCGCATCCAGAGCCTGGTCAATCTCATCAAATAAGTAAAAAGGAGCTGGGTCACATTTCTGAATGGCAAAAATCAGAGCCAGTGCTACCAAGGATTTCTGTCCACCTGAAAGTTGTTGCATTTCTCTCATTTCACCTTGTTTTCCTGTAAATGACACCTAAGAAAATATACTATGAGTTAACAACCTACAAGGGTAGAATAACCATCACCTCTTAAAATTAAGTTGCATGTAATATGCCAATTTAGATTTGAGAAGATTCTATGAATTCTACTATGGTAATGTTCTGAGGAAAATGGAATGTAAAGATATTTACCCTAATTCCAACTCCAGTGAACTGGTCAACTGATGGGACACTGCTTTGGGACCCAGAACCTCTCTCACTTTCACCACTTCCTTCTCCTTCATCCTGAGACTGACTCCCTTCCACATCTCCTTTCTTCATCACCAAAGTAGCTTTGCCACCAGGTACTAACTTCTGAAATACTTCACTGAAGTTCTTAGAGACCTTAAAAAAAAGTGTCAGTCAAATAATTTTGCTGAGATGGAATTATAGATATTACTGCTTAAAAACAAAAGAGAAATATTTAAAATTAGACAATTATTTTTTAATCAAAAGAACAAGAATAACAGATTGGATATTCTTAAGAACTGTGTAAAACATTTAAGTTACTATATGTTTAGCAAGCCAAATGCTAGATTTGATCACATGAGATCTACCTATCGATGTGGGAACACAGCTTTCAAATCTTTACAAACTGAGTTTAAGAGCTGAAGTTTTTGTCCTGTATGTGGGTTATAACTAGAAACAGAAACATACCTGTTTGAAAGTTAACTGAATAGCTTCATATTTTCGAAGTTCAAGTACATTCATCAGTTCCATGATTGATTTATAACCCCTATCTAACTCCTCTTGTCGCTTTATTAACTTTTCTTTCTGCTCGGAGAAATTTACAAACTGATCTAAAGCTTTTTTGTTAACATGGCTATACTTCTTTAATTCTGTGTTGCACTGTTCAAGTTTTCGAAACAACTATAAAGACAAAAAGAAAGTATAAATTAATTTACATACACACCAATTTGCAACAAGACTTCAATTTTTTTTTTTTGCAGACAGAGTCTTACTATGTCGCCCTCAGTAGAGTGCCGTAGCATCACAGCTCACAGCAACCTCAAACTCTTAGGCTTAGCAACTCTCTTGCCCCAGCCTCTTAAGTAGCTGGGACTACAGACACCGCCACAATGCCCAGATTTTTTTTGTTGTTGTAGTTGCCATTGTTGATTGGCAGTCCTGGGCTGGGTTCAAACCTGCCAGCCTTTGTGTTATGTAGCTGGCACCGTAACCAATGTGCTATGGTCGCCGAGCCAAGACTTCAAATTTAAAATCAGTAAGATTTACCTGTTTGAGGCTCAGTGTCTGGTACTTTTCAAATGCTTCCTGGGGAAGTGATCCAAGTTCTCGAATTTTCTTCATACATTCTTCTTTCTTCTTCAATAGCATGCCTTGCCGATTTGTCATCTTTTCCAGTTCTTTAGTATCGTGATTTATAGCATCCATGTGTTCTTTTTCCATATTTTTCCAGCGTTCCATACTCTTCTGAAGCTCCTTAATGCCAGCTTCTGTTTTATCAATGGAATTATCCAAATCTAAAATAAAGAAAACACAAAATTAGGTTACAATATCTACTTTAAGCCAGAGTGTTACACAACCAAAGATTTTAACAGTCAGACCTACCAAAATAAATAGGCTTTAGATTTTCCTCAGTATTTCTTTACATTTTACTATGGAAATTCGTGGACTATTAAAATCAGTACAAAATTAGGAGTTTATGAGTTACTCAAGTATATAAATTTCATTAATTTAATGTTTATAGAAAACTAATTATTTTCTTCTCAGCAACTAAGTGATAAGATAAACTTGGCTCGGCGCCTATAGCTCAACCGGCTAAGGCGCCAGCCACGTACACCTAAGGTGGCGGGTTCGAATCCCCAGCCCGGACCCGCCAAACAACAATGACGGCTGCAACCAAAAAATAGCCGGGCGTTGTGGCGGGCGCCTGTGGTCCCAGCTACTTGGGAGGCAGAGGCAGGAGACTCGCTTGAGCCCAGGAGTTGGAGGTTGCTGTGAGCTGTAATGCCACGGCACTCTGCCCAGGGGGACAGCTTGAGGCTCTGTCTCAAAAAAAAAAAAAAAAAAAAAAAAGATAAACTTGATTCAGGTATCTCACACTTTGTTAACGAAATAAATAATTTATGGTCTCTTATAAAATTGTCACAAACATTTCAACAAAACAAAAGTTACTATTTATGGTGAACCTACTAAACTCTATTCACTATAAATTGTTTATGATGATGGAAAATACAAAAACATCATTAGTATAAGCTTTTGTTTATTTGGATATTTCACTCTGTAGTAAATAATTGCATAAAACAAGCCAAATGTAAAAAAAAAAAATTACTATAAAGCAGCTCACCTTCTGAACGTGCCATGGTATCCTTTACTCTTTTATTGATGGCTTCAAGTTCTGATGTTGTGGCAGTGAGAACAGTACCCCCTTCTGTCTCTCTCAATTCATTAAGTTCCTGCAACACAAAAGGACTTATGATCATAAAACCACAAAATACAAATTTTGTTTCAAAATGTTATGGCTGCCAATAGTTTCCATAGCTGTTACGTTTGAATAAACATTAAAAAAAACCCCAAAAATAAACATACTTCATGTAACTGCAACTACTTAAAAGTACCCATTAAGGGGGAGAAAATAATGATATAATTACCAGAAAATTTCTCAGCATCCGATTACATCTGAGAAAATATTAACTAACATTTACTGAGCACCTAGAATATTCCAGCAATCAACAAAAGAGGTACCATTAAGCTTATTTTACACAAGAGGACACTGAGGCTTAGAGATATTAAATGGCACGCTGAAAGTTGTACACTGGGTGACAGTATTAGAACTCCAACCCAAGGCTCATGGACAGAACACTAGACTTTCAGTCTCCAAAACTCATAATTTCAGAGACTCTCATATAACCAGTTTTAATAGGTTATGGTCATCAAACCACCCTCACAAAAACCCAAACCAAAACACACACCTGTTCTACTTGGTCCAAGCGTTTTCTCAGATTTTCATTGAGGTAAGTCTCCACTCGAGTAATAATACCTTCTAATTTAATTCTTTCATTTAGCAACTGTCTGTTTTCCTAGAATTAAGAAGAAAACTTAGTTGTCTACATAAACATGCAAATTTCACACAGAGGAATGCTGTTAATCTGCTTTCCTGCCCATTACTATTCCTCAGATAAGGTGAAAATGGAATTTTATATTTTATACCCTTACAAAAAGCCCTATATTTTCTTCATTTTCTCTCTTTTACTTATTCATAATGTTAAGTTTTCGCGCCTGATTCTTTTTATAAGGTATATTGTCAAAAATAGGTTTCCTGGCTCGGTGCCGGTAGCTCAAGTGGCTAAGGTACCAGCCACATACACCAGAGCTGGTGGGTTCGAATCCAGCCCGGGTCTGCCAAGCAACAATAACAACTACAACCAAAAAATAGCTGGGCAATGTGGCAGGTGCCTGTAGTCCCAGCTACGTGGGAGGCTGAGGCAAGAGAATCACCTAAGCCCAGGAGTTGGAGGTTACTGTGAGCTGTGACGCCACGGCACTCTACCCAGGGTGACAGCTTGAGGCTCTGTCTCAAAAGGAAAAAACAAAACAAAACAAAAATAGGTTTCCTGTTTTTCATTTTTTGAACTCAGTACTGGTTGTTTACATCTATGCATTTAAAAAAATCTAATATTAAAATATTTATAAAACATTATTACATCTTTAACTCACTGTTAAACAAGCTCAGTCTTACTAATACTTACAACTAACAAGTAATGAAACTAAACAAGAGAAAATGAAGATTTCTTATATAATCCTAACACCAAAAATGGTATAGAAAAATTCATTAAAATCTTATTTACTCTTATGGGAATTAAGTCAAAGTCCCATTTTTATATTTCCTCAATATTCTTTTCTTTTACATTCCTTATTTGGATAAAAGAGGCACTTTTCATAACAGCCAATTACCAATGAAATTTTTTTTCCTGCAAGTTGTACTTGCCTGCTGAAGCTGACGAATTTCATCATTCAGTGCATCTACTCTCTTCTGATCTTCCAGACTAAGTTGAGAAAGCAAATCAGTTCCCAGTTCTGCTTTCAATGACTCTCTGGTAGACTCCATAGCATGCAAACTTGCCTCCAAACTTTGTAAGCTACGTTGCTATATGACAGATTCATTCATTAATAAAGTTATTAGTCACTGTATTACTTATAATAGTAAAAAATTGGAAACCTATGTTTGATATTAGTGAGCTAAATAAATCATATCAACTCAATTATTATGTACCCATTAAATTTGGTAACTAAGACCATGCAGCAACAAATATAATACTATGGGAGTTGTGGAACAGATTATATCCCATAATTAAAATACCTGTATACAAAAAAATTCTTAAGGCATATTCTTAAGAACAAAAAGCTGTCAGAGGAGAGATACAATAGCTGATGCCTATAATCCTAGCACTCTGGGAGGATGAGGTAGGAGTAAGAGATCCTCCTCAATCTCTTCTGAAACTAGAAAAAGTAGCCTAGTGTGGTAGTGCACAGCTGTAGTCCAAGTTACTAGAGAGGCTAAGGCAGGAAGATTGCTTGAGCTTAGAAGCTTAAGGTTGCAATCAGTGAGGTATGACGATGCCACTGCTCTCCAGCCCAAGTGACAGAGCAAGATTCTGTCTCAAAAGAAAAAAAAAGTTGCAGATTGTATTAGGGTAGTACAATTGTGGCCCTTCTTTATTTTTTATCTCTTTGTTGTTTCAGTACTATTAATAGTACTTATTGATGTGATTTGTCAAAACTGTTTCACGTTCATAAGACAATTAATATACTATCATTTATAACTTTGCTTTCTACTCATTTTAATAGGGACAAAACACAATCAAATATTCAACTAACACCATAGTGCTTCCAGACAAAAATAGTACTAACAAATTAAATACTGATGGTCAGACATTACTATTATGCTCTATCTTAAAATGCCTATTTATCCAATGAGGGTGGAAAGTTTGAATGCTGCGAACAGGAGACTCTGGGTATACATAGATGTAAGCAGAGTACAGATAGATGCAGATATCCAAAAGTACGGGTCTAAACAAAAATGGAACACATAAAAGTCAAAGATAACCCATATAACATAACAATCCATCTCAACTAATCTATAATAAAACACATACTTACGAACCTTAGGCATAAAAGTTTTCTCTGACTGCTGCCTCTTCTCTTTTAGCATCTTCATTTCTGAGAGTATGCTATCTCTGGATGCTTTAAATTTCCTTTGTTGGGTCTCTATCTGTTGCATCTGGTTCATCAACTGATCAATTTCATTATTAATCCATATACAAGGCTAAGGAAAAGTCTCTCCAGGTTGTAAATATTATTGTATATTCTTAATTCTCATCAGTTCTTTAACAACACAACACCATGTATCCCTTTCTTTTCTTTATCCCTAAATAACAGTTATATGCTCACATTTATGGATCCTAACAATGCTGAACTATCCTGCCTAAACATGCTCAATCATAATAGAAGCAAAACATTTCACCCCATTATTTCACTATCAAAATAACATATATACTATTTCACTAGTAGCTATAAAAAAAAAAATTCCTAGAAAACCCTAAGGGAAGCTAAGTAAAATCTAACAATATTGTATATTTTTAAAATACCTTTTCATTCTACAAATATTTACTATGTTATCTATTATAGGTAAGGCACTGTGGCACATTATGAAGATATGCATGAAAAATAGGTCTTACCCAATGTGGAAGAATAATTCAATCTAGCTGGATTGTCAAATAGAGGAAAAGAGCTGGTATATGCTGTCAAAACTCTACTTTTTCTTAGTATTTCCCCATACTTTCTTTGTGCAAACACCTTTATCAAATTTAGGCAGTTCTCTGACTATGATATGCAGAACTAGGCAAGGTAAAATAGGTAAGATCTTTGATTTTTCTCTATGCTGTTGCTTTTGCTTGCACCAATTGACACAGAAGTTATAAACTTACAGTTTAAAAAGTTGCCAGTTTAACTTAAGAGTATCCTTGAAGCTGTAAACATTAGTTCTGTTTTTTCTTGATGCTCAAGTACTTGTATTCTTAACACTGTCTAACAAAAGGTGAAACACATACCAACTATTTCTGCCTTATATTAAAGCCCTATGGTTGTTTTAAGAAAATGCATGTGTACAACTGTTTCAGTTGGCAGCTGAACTAACTGCTCTTCATGTAGCATAATTTTTATGTGAAAAAACAAGTATGGATACTCAGACGTGGACTTTTGATAGCCATTTCCTCTACTACCACAAAATCTGTACCAAATAACCTCAAGATAATACAATCTGAACGCAGTAGCTCACACCTATAATCCCAGCTCTCTGGGAGGCCAAGGTGGGGTAGAATGCCTGAGCTCAGGAGTTTGAGACCAGCCTAAGAGCAAGACCTTGTCTCCAAAAAAATAGCCAGATATTGTGGTAGGCACCTGTAGTCCCTACTACTCGGGAGGCTGAGACAAGAGAATTGCTCAAGCTCAAGAGTTTGAGGTTGCTGTGAGATATGATGCCACAGCACTCAACCCCAGGGCGACTGAGTGAGACTCTGTCTCAAAAAAAAAAAAAGGTAATAAAATCTGCCAGGTATGGTAGCTCCCATCTATAGTCCTAGCACTTTAGGAGGCTGATGCAAGAGAATCACTTGAGGTCAGGAGTTCAAAATCAGCCTAGGCAAGAATGAGACCCCACCTCTACAAAAAATAGAAACATTAGCTGGGTGCAGTGGCATGTGCCTATAGCCCCAGCTACTTGGGAAGCTGAGGCAAGAGCATTGCTTGAGCCTAGGAGTTTGAGGTTGTAATGAGATATGATGACACCACTGTATCATAGCCTAGGCAACATAGCCAGACTCTGTCTCAGAAAAAAAAAAAAAAGTAAAATCTAATGGACATTTTTCAATCCATATATATTTTACTTCTACACAACATGTGACATTACTGCTGCCTCCCACCCTCTTGCTTACTGCAACACTATCAAGGCTTTCCTTTTACAATTCACTGACCAAGCCTTCTTAGTTTTTCTTTGTTCAACTGTCTTTAATTTTCACATTTCTTCAGTTCTCACCCAAAAGTAACTCACTGATATTAGCTACTAACAGTTATGTAAAGGATCAATATTAAAATGCTTTCAGCTTTTCCTCTAAGTCTTCAAAAGTTAAACAGGCAAACATAAACTCCTGTACGTACATACAAATCAAAGTGAAAAGACATGAATTTTTCCCCACTTTATGAAAAGAAAAAAAGAAAAAACAAAACATAAAATACCCAAAACACAGAAGACTACATCTTGCAATCAAAATGTAGTTTTCTCTACAGTATCCATAACTAAGCACAAAATAAAAAGATATTTTCAATATTTCTGCGCAGGTTTTCATTAAGCTTTGCTTCAAGCTCACCTAATTCTTCTTCTGCTTTTCTAACATCTTTTTGCAATTCAAGTCGAGACTTCCTTGTGTCATAATAACCTCCAGTTAGGGCACCCCGATGACTGACTTGGTCACCTATAAACAAAACGTTAAGAAAGGTAATAATTCCATGTAACTTCTTTATTCGATGATAAACTGACTTACAGTCAAAAAACTAATCGGAAGGCTTTAAGTGCATAGTGAGAATTAAAAAGTTAAAAATTTAAGTCAACTTGAAAAAACCTTTTTTTCAGGCGGCACCTGTGGCTCAGTGGGTAGGGCCCGGGTCCCATATACTGAGGGTGACGGGTTGAACCTAGCCCTGGCCAAAATGCAAAAAAAAAAAAAAAAAAAACCCACAAAAACCTTTTTTTCTAAAATTTGCAGCTTAAAAAATGTATATATTCCAGTGAACCTGAATATCTGCCCGAAAGCAAGGAAGTGCTGAAGACTAACTAACGAGGATATCTCAATAAGACATAGGACCTGGCCTGGAATTCCTACTGACCATATTTGGGAAAATCGGACATCAAAAATAATGATACGGTGATACTTTTTTTCCATAGTGATACTTTTTTTTTTTTTTTTTTTGCAGTTTTTGGCTGGGGCTGGGTTTGAACCTGCCACCTCCGGCATATGAGGCTGGCGCCCTACTTTGAGCCACAGGCGCCAGTGATACTTTTTAAAAACTGAAAGGACAGGGCTCTTTTTTTTTTTTGAGACAGGAGCCTCAAGCTGTCCCCCTAGGTAGAGTGCTGTAGCATCACAGCTCACAGCAACCTCCAACTCCTGGGCTCAAGCAAGTCTCCTGTCTCAGCCTCCCAAGTAGCTGGGACCACAGGCACCCACCACAACGCTCAGCTATTTTTTGGTTGCAGCCGTCATTGTTGTTTTGGTGGGACTGGTCTGGATTTGAACCCACCACCTTAGACGTATGTGGCTGGCACCTTAGCCACTTGAGCCACAGGCGCCCAGCTGACAGGGCTCTTCTTTACAGAAGAATGATGACTGCTAATAAATGTAGAGGCAAATGATAGAATTGAAGAATCACTGTTTTGGAACCCCCAGTATAATAACTGATTCAGGCAAAGGTGAATAAAAATGCCACAATAACTGGTAAAAAGTTGTTGGCAAGACATAGTATTCAGAAATAATATCATGTATCACTTATTAATTACAAAGGGGAAAAGGTACCTTTTACAACAAAGACGTACTAGTGATCAAAACAGCATTATTAATGACAGTACACATAGTAACAAAGAAATAAGTACACATCATTCATGCAGCATTCGTGCCAAGAATGCTTAACCTGAATCTAACGATGAAGAAGCAACAAGACAAATTCAGAGAACAGAATTTTCTATGAGAAAATCCATTTCATGAGAAGTGTAGGGGGAGAGATAAGAGGAACTATTCTGTATGTAAAGAATCTAAAGAGAAGACACTGCAGGCATCCCTAACTGGATCCTAGATAGAAAAATATTCTGGGACAACTGAGAAAATTTGAATGTGGATTCTTTGTGTTTGACTTTCTGACTTCAATAAATAAAATATAAAGAGAAGAAATAAACAAAAAATGAGGTGAATCTATATCATGGGCATTGTTAACCTGGGTTTCACAGATAATATTTAACAGTTCTAGGACTTGAGTGGGGAAAAAATTTTACATCTTTATTAACCTGAAAATGAGGCCAGGCACGGTGGCTCATGCTTGTAATCCTAGCACTCAGGGAGGCCGAGGCCAGTAGACTGCTTGAGCTTACAAGTTCGAAACCAGTCTGAGCAAAGAGCGAGACTTTGTTTCTACTAAAAATAGAAAAACTGATGCAAGAGGATCACTTGAGCCCAAGAGTTGGAGGTTGCTATGAGCTATGACACCATGGCATTCTATCCAAGGTGACAGCTTGAGACTCTGTCTCAAAAAAAACAAAAAAAAGGAAAACGAAATTAAGTATTTCCTTCTATAATGAATAGGAGAACCAAAGTAGTATTAGTACTAAAGATGTTGTTACCAAGATAAATATCAGATTATACTTGTCACAGATCTAAAAATATTGTTTATATGCACTAATACTTCAAAAGTATAGAATTTATTAAGCCCATCACTAAATCTTGTTTTCAAATGCATTAAAGAATTACTATGTCTTTTTTGAGACAGTCTCAAGCTGTCGCCCTGGGTCGAGTGCCACAGCATCACAGCTCACAGGAACCTCCAACTCAGGCTCAAGCGATCCTCTTGCCCCAGTTTTCCTATTTTTAGTAGAGATGGAATCTCATTTTGCTCAGTCTGGTCTCAAACTCATGAGCTAAAGCAATCCACCGGCCTTGGCCTCCCAGAGTGCTAGGATTACAGGAGTGAGCCACCGTACCCAGACACATTTTAAAAAATACTGTGATAACCATGCCAATATAACTGGTTTCCTTTGTGATCCAAAGTTTACCTTATGCATGTAAAATTTCTGAGAAAGGCTTCACAGCCTTCAAGTAGCCAAAGGAATGCACGGTGCAAAAAAGGTTAAGAACTCCTGCACTAGACCTAACTATTACATTTAGGAAGCATGAACTAAACATCAAGTATGAACACTGTGGCTCGGTGCCTGTGGCTCAAGCGGCTAAGGTGTCAGCCACATACAACTAAGGTGGCAGGTTCGAATCCAGCCCAGGCCCACCAAACAACAATAATGGCTGCAACCAAAAAACAGCAGGCATTGTGGCGGGCACCTGTGGTCCCAGCTACTTGGGAGGCTGAGGCAGGAGACTCGCTTGAGCCCAGGAGCTGGAGGTTGCTGTGAGCAGTGAAGCCACGGCACTCTACCCAGGGGCTCAGCTTGAGGCTCTGTCTAAAAAAAAAAAAAAAAAAGTGCGAACACTGTTTGGAGTCTCACTTAAACAAACTAAAATTTAAATGATAAAATAATTGAACATGAATTTTCAAATACTCTTAAAACTGACTATGAATTACTATATAAGATATACTCATCAGACATGCACACAGCATAAGTGACGCTGCACAGTTAATCACTTGTTAATGATTTATTACCATTTATTTGTTCAAAGCTAAGAATTATAATTACAAACCTTCCAAAGTAATGCAGTCCATAGTGAAAGCACGGGCCAGCTGGGTTGAAACTTCCATGCTACGACAAATAAGTGTCTTGCCAAACACATGTTTGAAAGCTTTGTCAAATCTGGGATTGTACCTCAGTTTACTGATCATAGGAATAGCATCCTAAAAATAAGTATTTTGTCAGCAAGCAAAAAATCACAAATTAAAAATTAATAGAATTATTAATTACATCTGTAAGAAATACAAATAAACACAAATGCCAATATATTTCAAAACTACTGTTTTTTAATACTGAAGAAGTTAGAAGACTCATTTTATTGAAATATCCTGGAAATTTTGTTTATGGTATCATTAAGGTTTTCAATATTACAGCACAGTGATAAGAGCTTAGCTACTTTGAAGCCAGACTGTCCAAGTTGAAAATCCTGGTTCCACCCCTCATCACATATGTGCTCTGGCCAAGTTGCTTAACTTCTCCAGATGATTACTTTATTTACAAAACTGCAAGTGTAACATTACTTAAATACTCAGGATCATGTCTCTCACATAGAAAAGCTAAATAAGTGTAAATAGTATTTCCCCCAAATATTTTAGTTTTATATATTATGTATATATCTAAATTAGATAATTGAAAAAATATTTTTTCAAATAAAATTTATTTTTTTACTTTATTCCTAAACTGTTAGGAGTTTCAGAATTTTTTAAACTATGAAATACATCCTTTATACAGAAAAATGCAATAAACATATTAAGCTTAATAATTACAGAGGGAACACCCTTATAACCACCACACAGCACTTTTAAAATATTGTGATAACCATGCCAATATAACTGGTTTCCTTTGTGATCCAAAGTAAATTATCTTATGCATTTAAAATTTCTGAGAAAGGCTCCATAGGCTTCAAATAGCCAAAGGAATAAACAGTGCAAATAAGGTTAATAACTCCTGCTATAGACCTAATTATTACATTTAGGAAACATGAACTAAACATCAAGTATGAACCCTGCCTAATGACACCCCAAAAGTCACAAGTGTGCTCCATTCCTAACTGCAAAGTGGTTACATACAGTGGCTAGCTGCTGGAGGTGACTGCTATTATTGACTGTGTGCTCATCACTTCCTTATACTTCCTTCTAGTTCGATCATCTAAGTTTAGTTATGTAGCTTAACTGAACCACACTATATGCATTCTGTTGTGTCTGGATTGATTCATACATTGTTTGTGAGATTCAACTTTTCTTTCCCCAAAACTTCAAAGGCAATTTATGGATGTGAAAGCAAAAAAACTGAAGCCTTCTGTAGCTTATAAAAATCTTAATTTTCGTTTTTCTTTTTTTTTTGAGACAGAGCCTCAAGCTGTCACCCTGAGTAGAGTGCCATGGCATCACAGCTCACAGCAACCTCCAACTCCTGGGCTCAAGCAAGTCTCCTGCCTCAGCCTCCCAAGTAGCTGGGACCACAGGTGCCCGCCACAATGCCCGGCTATTTTTTGATTGCAGCCACTATTGTTGTTTGGCGGGTCCGGGCTGGATTCGAACCGGCCACCTTAGGTGTAATGTGGCTGGCACCTTAGCCGCTTGAGCCACAGGCGCCGAGCCTAAAAATCTTAATTTTCCATTTAAATTATTAATCCTCCTCATAGGGTTTCAGCTTTAACCTAGAGGATGGTAAAAACAGCTGCTATTACTATCAACATTTTGTGGTACCTTAAAGCAATTACACTTTTCCATAATGGCATCTAAAAAATATTTGTAGTCCATTTAAAATATACTAGATAGTAACAAAAGCAACATTACGCTTTCAGAATCTGTCATTTTGCTAGCTATTTTTCATTTAATTTATAAATTTTTTGGGGGGCCGTGGCTGGGTTTGAACCTGCCACCTCTAGCATATGGGGCCGGCGCCCTACTCCTTTGAGCCACAGGCACTGCCCCATATAAACTATTTTAAAAGTACATCCAGAGACCAAGAAGGACATCCACAGGTTCAAGACCAGCCTGAGCCAGAGCGAGACCTGGCTTCTAAAAATAGCCAGCATTGTGGCAGGCACCTGTAGACCCAGCTACTTGGGAGGGTCAGACAAGAGAATCACTTGGCTCGGCGCCTGTGGCTGAAGCGGCTAAAGTGCCAGCCACATACGCCTAAGGTGGCGAGTTCAACTCCCCAGCCCGGGCCCGCCAAACAACAATGATGGCTGCAACCAGAAAATTGGCCAGGCGTCGTGGCGGGCGCCTGTAGTCCCAGCTACTTGGGAGGCTGAGGCAGGAGACTTGCTTGAGCCCAGGAGTTGGAGATTGCAGTGAGTGTAAGGCCATGGCACTCTACCCAGGGGGATAGCTTGAGGCTCCATCTCAAAAAAAAAAAAAAAAAAAAAGAGAGAATCACTTGATCAACTCTTGAATCACCAAGAGTTAGAGGTGATGTGAGCTATGACATCACAGCACTCCACTGAGGGCAACAAAGTGAGACTCTGTCTCCAAAAAAAAAAAAGTAGGCTCAGTGCCGGTGGCTCAAGTGGCTAAGGCACCAGCCACATACACCTAAGGTGACGGGTTCAAATCCAGCCTGGGCCCGTCAAACAAAAATGACGGATGCAACCAAAAAATAGCCGGGCGTTGTGGCGGGCACCTGTAGTCCCAGCTACT